GCCACCCATCGCGTTGGCTTCCTGCCTCCAGCTCGGGCCCGCTCCACCCGTTTCGCTGGAGTCTCCTTAATCCGGTATCCTGCTCCTCTGCATAGCTAGTGGAGCCCTGACCGAAGCGCCTGGGGACAGGACAGCTACGCCCTTTGCTGGGTGGCTGCACTCTGCGCTGCCCAATGTGTTAGTACAGGTTTACTCTCTTGGGTGGTTTTGTGTATGAGGCCCTTCAGCTCCGCGTACGACCTGGTTCCTTCACAGCATGTTCTTCCAGCCTGTGCTCACGTATGCCCAGAGCTTTCCCCGAGATGAAACTTGCTTACTGCAGCCAGGCCCAGGAAAAAGGTTCTTTCTCCCCCAAACTGCCACATGTGACACTGCTGCCGAGGTGTTGCCTGTGGCACCACCTCCTCCTCCAAGGGCAAGTGTCCCACCACTGCAGCCTGTCCCCAGGGGAAGGTCACCGTCCGGCGCAGCGCTGCTGCAGCCAGCGCCTGACCCCACCGCTGGGCTCTCCTGGCAAAACGTGTGGCTTTCCTGTCCGAGAAACACTGCTTTGGGCCATCGCTCCCCTCCCCGCGCCGGGCACAAACTCACGTCTGCTCCGTGCGACGTTCTGCCTCGGAGAGCCATGAATATCCGAGCGATATAGCGATGCAGCCACCAGATTCGCTCAAGTTTTCATGCTTCAATGATTTAAAAAAAAAAAAATGTGTTGCGACATGTTCTCCCTGCTACACAGAACAGGGAAGTGGAAGCACCAGCTGTTTAAAGCGGGGTGGCGTGGGTGGACAGCGGACGAGTCAGGGCACACCGGGGTCCCGCCAGCGCTGTCATGCCACAGCCACGCGCACTTGCGGCAGGGGGCGGGGGCGTCCGAGAGCAAAGGCGCGGCAAGCCAGTGGTCGCGAAGGGACCGCTGTTTGCCCAGATATCTGAGAGCATTCGCCATTTAAAAGTACCTCTTTCTGTCAGCTGATTTAAAAAGTGAGGCTATACCAGAGCTTCCCACCAGCTCTGTGTTCTACTTGTCTAGTAAATAATAAAAAAAAGATCAACCATTGACAGAAAGTGCAGTCATGACCCTAGGTATACGTTTCTGACCCCTTGCTATGAAATGACCTTTCGAAGTATAAAAATGGGACTTTCCAGTTTTGTGAAACACTTCATGTGGCCCTTTTTCCTTCCTTCCTCCTGCTGCTGTCCGTGCCCCGGGGGGAAAGCTGGGCGCACCACAGCTGAAGCAGGCTCAGATTCGGGATGGCTTTGTCAAGTTGCACTTAATTCTGAGCCTGCTTAAAAGAGGGAGGGAATCAAAAAATAGATATATGCACTTGTCGTAAATGCAAACACAATGTGAATGCACAGCCGCTCTGTGCCTTGTGTCCTGCTTAAGTCAAAGATGCTGATAGCACAAGGACTTAAATCTATATAATAAAATGCCTAGAGCTTGCAGCCTGAAAGTCTCCGAATCAAGAAATCTGATCAAGAAAATGTCATAGTCTATTAAGATAAGCATTGAGCTGCTGAGAAAACCAGTTTTCGGGAATTAGATGCCCAGAAAGAACCTGTTTGGTTTTTTTTAAACCATGGTCTCTTTCCTCCAACTAGTAAAAATAGTTACGACCTAAAATAATGCATGATTTCATATATATGGTATGAAGTATTTTCAAGCAGTCAAATGATGCAGACAAAACTCTTTGCGACACCATGAAAGGACTTTGGCATGTGAACAGACACATTGTGCCTCACCCTGTTCATAAACAAAAGAACTCAAGTGATTCAGCCGTGGCGCTGCTGGAAAAGTGTCGGTACGGCCGCCCAGATACGATATCTCTTAGGGTTTGGGTTTTTCTCTTTCTGTTTGGTGGTGTAGAACTGCTGGACACTTTCCTCAGGCCAGGTTGTACGTACAGCCCCGTATCTACAATGACAAATTAATTTTGAAAAATACTAGACAATTAATACCTGGTGTTACACAGCTGTTTACAGAAATAGTTAAATCTGAATATGGCTGTGAGGTAGGCAAGTAACCCTCTTTATTACCCTCATTTTACAGAAAAGAGGTAGAGAAATGAGAAGTCCATTTCCATAGCTTGGTCAGTATTAATTACAGCAGCAGAAACTAGGAGTGAATTCTTAAAAGTCCCCAACATTTCCCCCGGGCTTTAATTAAAAACAGTAGTCAAGAGCAGTGCAGTCCTGGACAACATAATACTACTAATTCTCCCCTTGCATTCTTTCATTACAGAAAACATCTTGGTGCTCAGATTCAGAGGAGTACAAAAGCAATATCAACTTCAGCAAATCCGAAGTAATTTTGTTCTGCCCAGTCCATAGCAGAGGAAAACCTGCTGATGATTTTAGGACTGGAGGCATGACTTCATTTAAAATGCAGTCAGACATTTAGTTTGTACAACAAAGAGTTGTAATTTTCAAAAAAGCAAGCTGGGCCCTTTTTAAGATCAGCACAGCTATTAAAAAAAAAAAGTTGGCCTTTATTTTCACTAGGTTGGTAGTATGGGTTACAGGTAAAAATCACGCCTCTCTTTCCACTGACAAAGGCGCAGGCAGAGAGAAGTCAGGCTGGAAACATGTAGTCATTTTCTTATCCTGATAATGAAGGGGTCAAACGAATAAACCGGCAGGACCTTTCTGCCCGCGCGGACGGTCTCGCGCCCGCGGGCCCCACTGCTGGCCAGCGAGAGGGATTTGCCCAGCACAGACGCTTTCCTCAAAGGTGTGTGGAAGCCTGGTTTCACAAAAATTCATTTGTACCTGGATTTCTGTCTGTAAGGCAGTTAGTGGGGAAATTCTGCAAACGCTCAGACGTTTTCTTCCCTCATGCCTGTCCCCTCGCTCCCGCTTCCTCAGGACTGAGGGAGAGTTAGAGAACTTTGCTTAGGTAAGCACGCTGGTAAGCACCCCGGTGCTGCAAACGCTGCTTCGCAACGACCGCGTTGGCTTACGTCAGATCGTGGTTGTAGCGCTGTTACATCCTCAGACAGGTCTCTAGAAAAATTGGGATAAGTAAACTAGAGACATTATGTTCCTAAAATGCCACGATGCTGCCCTGAACATGCTCATAGAAAGATACAGGCTGAGTGAGGATGCTGATCCTCCGTGGTGTAATGAGATGTTCCTTTTCTCTGTGCTCTCCCTACCTTTCACCTAAGTGCACCCAGAACTCAGAAATTAAGTTTCTCTTTCCTCTATTAAATGTTACTCATGCTTGTCAAGTCCCTTAAAAAAAACTTACAAAGTTTATTACGGCAAACTACATGCAACTTTCACTTACAAATAAAAATGTAGGAAATGCGAACGACAAATTCACTCTCAGCTCTAACCACGGGTGACCCTTCATGTGTTTTTTGGGTTGTGCTAATAGTTTTCTGTCCCTGGGTGGTTATGCTATTAGATCCCATATCCCTTGAAGTCCTTGACAAAAATTCATTTCCAAGTCCATTTTCCAAGGGACTCTTTTTGCTTTATCAACTACGTATACATATATACATTTCTGAAAGTAACGTAAAGAATCAAGCAGTTGTTAAAGGTGTGGAAAAGTTACTGCTTTTAGACTTAAAGTGGCAAAGGCACACACAGCTGCCCAAGCGAGCTGCGCTTTGTAGCTGGGGAAGGCGTCCGGGATTTCTTCCGGCTCCGGAGTGCAGCTGGCAGCGGCAGCCAATAGACGCAGAAGTTTGTGCAGCACTTTCCGGGCTCTGCTTCAGCCTTCTGGGGCCCTTGTTGGAGTTTATGGGGGATTTCTGGGGACCTTCTAAGGGACTAGAAGGTGCCTGTGGCTGGCAGGTAAGGAGAAGTAGGTCAGAAGCCTTCACTGCTCCTAGGAAGCTCTTGCAAGGTCCAGCTGCTGCTAACGAGCTCTGAGGTTGCTCCAGGGCAGCTGTTCCAGCTGAGCCCCATTAGGGAGGGTCAAGCCCTCCTTTAACCAGTGCTAGGAGACACCTATATAAGAGCCAGGCCCAGAGCATAGCAATTTTTGTGGAAGGGTACAAAGAAGGGGTTCTTGTCTCTGCTCAGAGCAGTGTGTGTGTCCTTGGGTGTGGTTGCGATGTGCCCCAGGGCATGTTCTCCTGCAGTGGTTGGAGCTGCTGTCCTGGTTGCCTTGGGGGCTTTAACCAGGACAGAGCTTCTGTGGAGGCTGCAGCCCATGCAGGGAGTGCTGGGGCTGGCAGGCACCTTTCCTGCATGCGATGTGCTGCCTTGCAGGACAGTGAATGGTAACTCTGAGGAAGGCAAAGGCTTGGAGCTGGTGACTCCTCATGCCAGGAGAAAGGCTCCTGCTCCTCCTGAAGGCTTGCAGCTCCTGGACAGGCTCCCTGCCCTCCAAGCTAGGTGTGCTTTTGAGTGAAACATCTGGGCTGATGGACCCTAACCTGTGCAGGACCACCTGGAGGAAATGGTGAGTGATTGTCATGGGTGAGGCAGGGGGATGGGGCACCCATCTGCTGACCTGACCTGCCATCTAGAGAGGTTTGCTGCTTGCTGGGGGCTTGGATCCAGGATGTTGTGGAGATACTGCTAAGGGCTTATCTGTCCCTCTGACTATTACCCTCTGCTGCTTTTCCATGTGGGCACCAACAATACTGCTAAGGGCAACCTGGGAAGTATCAAACATGACTATGGAGCTCTGGGGTCAGTCGTCAGGGTACGGGGGCCTGGATGGTTTTCTCCTTGATCCTGCCAGTGAGGGGGAAGGATGCAAGGAGGAGCGGATGGGTATTGTGAGCTAAAAATTAGCTGTGCAGCTAGACCCATCTGCTCGGCAGAGATGGGATGCACCTCACTAAGCAGGGCAAAAGCCTCTTTGCCAACAGGCTGGCCAGCCTGGTAAGGAGAGATTAAACTAGGAAAGACAGAGGAAGGGGAGAGTTATAGGGACCACACAATCAACAAGACAGGGCATAAGTGGGAGTACCTCAAGTATTTGCAGGCAGGCAAGGAAGTGCCTACAAGACTATGGGGAAACCTCTTGCACCCCTTCTGGGAAATTGGCACACTCGGATGCCTCTCTGAAAGTGCCTGCCCACAGCATGGGGAAGAAACAGGAGGAATTAGAGATGTGTGAGCAGTCACAGGGCTGTGATCTTGTTGCAATTACAGAGGTGTGGTGAGATGACTTGCATGACTGGAATACTGCAATGGATGGGTACAGGCTCTTCAGAAAGGACAGGCCAGGAAGGCAAGGAGGGGAAATCATCCTTTATGTGACAACATATGGAGCTCTGCCAAGTGGTGGGTGATGGGCTGACTGAGAGCTTAGGGACAAGGATTAAGGGGCAGACTAACATGGGCAAATTGATGAGGTATGAGCTAGATGAGCAGACACTGAGGTGGACTGCAAACTGGCTGAAGGGCAGAGCTCCGAGGGTTGTGATCACTGGCACAGTCTAGTTGGAGGCCAGTACCTAGTGGTGTACCCCGGGGGTCAATATTGGGTCCAATCCTGTTCAACTTAGTCATCAGTGACCTGGATGAAGGGACAGAGTGCACCCTCAGCAAAACTGGGAGGAGGTGGTTGAGCCACCAGACGACTGTCCCGCCATTCGGCGGGACCTTGATAGGCTGGAGAGATGGGTAGAGAGGAACCTCATGAAGTTCAACAAAGGGAAGTCCAAAGTCCTGCCCCTGGGGAGGAACAACCCCATGCACCAGTACTGGCTGGGGGCTACCTGCTGGAAAGCACCTTTGGAGAGAAGGACCTGGGAGTTGTGGCGGACAAGTTGACCGTGAGCCGGCAATATGCCCTTGTGGCTAACAAGGCCAATGGTATCCTGGACTGTGATAGGCTGAGTGTTGCCAGCAGGGAGAGGGAGGTGATCCAGTGTGGCCTCACCAGGGCTGAGCAGAGGGGGAGGGAGTGCTAGGTCCAGGTCTTGGCTCCCCAGTGTGAGAGATGGAACTACCGGTGTGAGTCTAGCAAAGGACCCTTAAGATAATTAAGGGACTGGAGCATCTCTCATATGAGGAAAGGCTGAGAGAGCTGGGACTCTTTAGCCTAGAAAGAGAAGATTGAGGAGGGATCTTATCAATGTGTGTAAGTACCTGAAGGGAGGGTAGAAAGAGGATGGGGCCTGACTCTTCTCCATGGTGCCCAGTGATAGGACAAGAGGCAACAGGCACAAATAGAAACACAGAAAGTTCTGTCTGAACATAGAGAAACTCTTTTACTGTGAGAGCATTGGAATAGGTTGCCCAGAGAGGTGGTGGAGTCTCTACACTTGGAGATATTTGAGAACTGTCTGAACAGGGTCCTGGGCAGTCTGGATCAGTGAAGAAGCTTCACCCTTAAAAAATTGCTCCCTCTCTTGCTACAATTCTTTTAAAGAGTCAAAAAAGGGCAATGAGACAGAGGAGAAAGCAGATGTAAATTTCTCAAAGACTGTGCTATATAGAGATGTAAAGACCTTTTTCTTTTTTTAAAAAAAAAAAATGCACTGCTGCTCACCAGGCCATAGAGTACAGAACCAAAATTCAAGAACCGAGGAACAGACTATGCTAAACAAGTATGCATGCATCAGTCACGTTTATTGGTGCATCAACAACTTTTGCAACTCAGGGCATGTGTTTAAGGAAATATTCAAATGTGTGCTGCTGATACACAATAACAGGATGGAACTGGAATACTGGTAACTAAGATTTTAGAAACTGTTGGCTAAAGCCGCTCGTTTTACTGCAACAGGAACATACTCTACCTACATCAGTGAAAGTCCTTACTCAACATCTGCTAAACATGTAAACTCAGACAAGCTTTTAAAGTGCTGTTAAAACCACAAGATTTGTATCTCTTCATACAATATAAAATGTTTGTGAAAGGCCACATGATTAGAGTATGTTAGGCTCTTCTTTAATTAAAGAAGGAATCTAGTGCTGGTGAAAGGGCCAGACTGGCACCAGGAAACTGAAATTCTGTTTAATCTAAGATCCAGAACTGCACAGACCCCTAAAGCAATACTAGGACAACCCGACTTTTAATAAACCCATCTCTAAGGTTAAAAATTTCAGTTTCTAGTACCTGTTTAATCACTGGCCTCTGTGCTGAAGTATTCAGCAAGGAAAATAGTGCTTATTTTAAATTTGTATGGGGAAAAGTGGTATGGTAAGGACATAAGCCCACATCTTACAGGCTTTCTGGATTGGTATGGACAGGTGACGCTACTCCCTGCCAGTACTTGAGCCTAAGTACCACAGAACATCCATACTAAAATATCTGTAGCACCACCTTCCTGTACAACTAATAACAGTCCAGTGCAAGTGTATTAGTGATGTTCAGAAATTCATCCTACTCATATCAGGATGCCATTTGTGACATTTTGATAACTGTATTAAGGGCAGGTAAATGCTGGTAATAGATATTAGGAAAAACCCTAACATTTACCACACTTCTTAAAAAGAAATTTTACTTTGAATGTATTCCATAGCTTACATTCTAAATAGCATAGATACTTTCTGCTTGGGAGAGCTTAAGAGAGCCATGTAATTTTTAACTCATCAATATCACACATTAGTTACTCTTTGGAAGACTTTGTCATAGTGACAACATGAACTTTTCCAAAGATGAACTACAGCAGTTCAGTTGCTATTTTTTTAACAGAACAGATTTTATTTTCTATGCAATTAAAGAAAACATCCAAGCAGCGATGTTGACATGTCTCCCTCAAACTGAACTGATACTTTTAGTGGAATGGCTATGCAAATGTGATATAGCAAAGCTAAATAGTCTGGATTAAATAAAGGTAACTTTAAAAATACTGCAAGTGAGAAATAAAAACATTTTTACACACTTTCAGAAATCCACTCAGGATACAAAGATAAAATTTAACTCAGCAAGCTCGTGAAGAAGTTTGTCAAGTCTGTCTTTGACAAATTGAGGCCAAACAACAGAAATTGTAAGAGTTGCTCCCAAAAGTCACTTGCAAACATGGTAGACAATAAATATGATTCTTCCACTTCACTCTTCTTTCAAGGACACCCAAAGACAGTCACCTGTACACCTCTCTGAGGTAGGTATTATGTCCATTTTATAGATGGTAAATGGTGAGGAGTAGCTCTTTGTCCAAGGCATCTCACCTATTTTAGTGTGAAAGCTGAGAATAGAATTTAGGATTGATAGTCTCTTGGTCTCATTCCTAGACAGTATTTCCTCTCAGGTAGTTATAACACAGTGTAATCTTCAAGTTCCTTTGAACTGTCAGGTATTTCTTTAAGTTATAAGCATCAGCTTCTAGAGGGTTGTTGTTAATAAAAATCTGATCTAATGATGGGCTAAAAGCAAAGTGGGGTTTAACGCTGGAAGCTATTGCAGTTTTCTATAGAAGCTTCCAACAGTGCTAATGTTTACTTTCTTACTGAATAAGAATCTGGGTCCATACGGCTTTTGGTGATTCTACTCTTTGTACTTAATTATTCATGCCTCAATTTGGCAAAGTACTTGCATGTAACTACATTCCATTTTCAATAATAGTCCTCAGTATTTCAAGGTCCACCTGGTTCTCATCTGAGAACTCGGGTGAAATTTGTCTGTCTTTTATAGAAAGAAAGCTTTTGCTGCACCAGTTTAGATATATGCCTTAAAAAATGGGAGGGCTTTAAAATGAAATCTCAGATTCCATTTAGAAAGTGGGCTTATTTTTGCTTCAGTTTGAAGATGCACATTCTTGCTCCCTATTTGTAGAAGTGCAAAGAAAGTAACTCAGAGTAACAGAAGAATAGCAGGCTAAGAATATTTTTAAATCCATTAACGCAAGTATGTGCTACAGGCATTACAAAGAAAAAGAAAATCCCTTTCAGTAATATGCACCTTTACAGCACCTTTAAAAAGATCTCAATGCACTTATTGTTCAGCCTCACATCCCCACTGTGAGGTAAGATTTGTTAAACCAATTTCAACATCCCTGATTCTGAGTAATATGAAAAGTAGGGCAGTTTACCTAGCTTATTTTATTATGAAAGTTAAACTGCTCCCTTCATTATCAGAATTAAAGTCTTGCTATTTAAGAGTCATGGGTGACAAATCAAACGCATTAAGGCAGAATGCACACTTGGGAAACTTCAAGCCTCTCTTTTGGCTAAGCACTCCGCCCTTCTAAAAAGGCAAAACTTTTCTACTGGTAAAGAATGAGAACTATACCTTAAAGTGCTAATGTACAGTATTTGGAATCTGGTACAGCTTCTTAACACTGTGGCCATGAGATCAGCTATACCCAAGTAAAGTCTAGTTAAATGTGTTCAACAGATGCAAATTACATTATTTCCCTAATTACCATAATTCCAACTTGCCAGAATCTGAGATAATACTATGAGCAAGAATCCAAGTATTTCAAGAAACATGCCTACATTGTGATGCAGTGTAAACACCAAGGAGTTGATAGTTATTTTTCAAGCAACTAAAAACTACCTATGGAGCATTAATAAGTTTATTCAATACTTAATCATCTACTCATTAGTTTTAAGAAGGCTATCTTAAAGCTTAGAGGCCAGTTCTTTCTCTAAAGTTGTGACTTCGCACAAACAATACATTCTACTTCTGATGGTAACGTAGTATAGGGCAGCTTTGGAGACACTCTCTCCTTTAAAACCTCTGCACCAAATGAGCAGTTTTACCTGCAAGAACTGCTTGTATGTGCAGAGTCCAATTTTTAGTATAAGTAATACTGATATGCATGTTTCCCAAACCTTTAGACTAGTTTAACTGCCCTGAAAATATAATATTGAGACTAATTCAGTAACTGAGAGGCTAGATTTTACTTTAGTGTTGAACAAGCCTGATTGTATGTCCACTCAGATCATGTACACAGAGAATATTATTTCAGAAACGAGGTTTTAGCTGCCAGTATACACCACCTGCCAAATTACTACAGATCAGCATGCGAGAAGATATCTATTTCAAATCAGCAGGATTAGCAGGAAAAGTCACTACCGCATACATATCTGTAAACCCACACACTAACCATAACAAACCTGTGTGTCTTGGCCATCGTTAAGTTAATATGCTTTTCAAGCTTTGTGAACGGAATTTTATGATTACATACAGCTTATGTGAAAATCCAGAATTTTATTCTGGACCAGTGAGGTAGTAGATGTACCATCCTCATGTCCATGTCACACTTCTCCGAAGTTGGTGTGTCCAGTCTCCTTGGCATGTTCTCTGGCTTCTGCTTGTCCGGTTAGTCCCTTCTGGCATACCATGCACCTCAGCGTAAAGCGATTCACATCAGTAAACTGCCTCTTCCGTCTGGCTTCATCTGCTAGCTCCAGTGCTTGTGCAAGGACAATATCATCAGTTGTAGAGAAAATGGTCTGGGGAGGAATGTCTGAGTCGGGGATTTTACGTTCAAGTGGATCATAATGAATCCCATCATAAATTAAAAGGACCCGCTTAGTGTAACCAGCATCTTCCCCAAAGCGGTCGATTCTGACCGTCTGTGTGTCCACTACACAGATTTCACACTGATAAAATTTGGATAAAATGGATACTTCAATGGCGCCTCCCCAAGTTTCTTCCCTTCGGATCCATTCGCAATACTCCTTGTTAGTTTTCCCTAGCACTGCCTCACAGTAGGACTCGGGGTCGCTCGCTACGATCTGGGCTATCAGGCCGCGCATCTCCGGGGCGCAGCCCGGATCATAAACGCCTCCCTCTACCACATAGTAGACGCTGGTGAACAGGCAGGAGTTATCCGCGGGAACGACCCTGCGGGCGAGCGCGGGCACGGCCTCCCTGGCTGCGCTAGACATCGTCCTCTTGGCGACGGCGGGCGAGTCGCTCTTGGCTCTGGAGGGGTCTTCTTCCACTATGAGCGTGTCACCTGCCAGAAATAAAGGAGGAGGAATTGAGAGAAACGGGTGGAGGGGAGTAGGGCTGCGCTCCTGACAGGGAACCCTCGTTTATCGCGCTCGTTTCCCGCCCGGACGCGTTATCCCACCGGGGAA